GCCTCAACCTGCTGGGCTCCAGCAATCCTTCCGCCTCAGCCTTCCAAGTAGCTGGAACTATAGGCACGTGCTATCACGCCCAGCTAATTTTTTATTTATTGTAGAGATGAGGTCTCGCCAAGTTGCCCAGGTGGGTCTTGAACCCACGGGCTTAGGCAGTCCACTCACCTCAGCCTCCCAAAGCGCTGGGATTACAGGCTGAGCCACCGAGCCTGGCATAAAATAAATTTTAAAAAAGAAAACATGGTGCTTAAAGGAGGAATGTTTGCAGCTCTAATAGTTATTTGAAAAAGATAACTTCAAATTAAATAAATATTAATAAGCATAGCAATATGTTTATTTTGTAATAGATAATAGATAATCTATTAATATTACCAAAGCTACCCACTATCTTCTCTGAAGATGGAAATGTTTAAACTAATTTTTGTTTTTCAGTCGGAGTCTCATTCTATTGCCCAGGCTAGAGTGCAGTGGCAGGCTCACGGCCACTGCAGCCTTGACCTGCTGGGCTCAGGTGATGCTTCTGCCTCAGCCTCCCAAGTAGCTGGCACTACAGGCATGCACCACTACACCCACCTAATTTTTTTATTTATTGTAGAGATAAGGTCTCGCCAAGTTGCCTAGGCTGGTCTCGAACCCCTGGACTCAGGCAATCCTCTCACCTCGGCCTCCCAAAGTGCTGGTATTACAGGCATGAGCCACTGTGTTTGACCTTAACTATTTAAATTTGAGGGACTAGATGGCAAAGCAAGGAATCCTGATCTGCTCTGTGGAGGTGTGCTAATATCATTTTGCCTGGGGAAAAAAATATTCTAGAGTCAGATAAGTTTGGGATAATCAGCATACTCTGGTAAACACCACTTTTGGAAATTCACAGTGCATATCGGGAAACCACACATAAAAAGTGTTTACGTGTAATCTATTGTCCAAATTGGTTTAGTATTTGTCATAGCCAAAAAGCAACTCTGTCAGGACAATAGGGTGATAGCTATAAACTAGGATCATGACTGGTTGACCAGGGCCCATGGTTACCCTGAAGAAACCTGTTGAACTTTGTTTTGTGTCATTTATTATTTCAAGAGGTTAAAAAGAATATGTTCTCTGTAATTTTCTTTGGAGTATGGCATTGACACCCTGAATAATGTCTTAAGGATATCAGTTGAAAATGCACTGGGATTAGAAATGATATGGTATTGGCGTTGATTTATACTCTTATCTGTGGAGACAGTCCAGTGTATGTGAGAGTGCTTCTTATTTTCCTGATTCATGTTCAGTTAATCCTGATGAATGCAACACCCCACCATATTTAGTCATTCCTATAATTCTTTTTTTTTTAGTTGGAGTATCTCTGTTACCCAGGCTGGAATGCAGTGGCACACTCATGGCCACTGCAGCCTCAACCTGCTGGGCTCAGGCAATCCTTCCTTCTCAGCCTTCCAAGTAGCTGGAACTACAGTAGCGAGCCACCACGCCCAGCTTATTTTTCAATTTATTATAGAGACAAGGTGTCACCAAGTTGCCCAGTCTAGTCTCGAACCCCTGAGCTTAGACAATCCTCTCTCCTTGGCCTCCCGAAGTGCTGAGATTACAGGCTTGAGCCACTGCTCCTGGCCCTATAATTCTTAATATGTGTGTGTCTGTGTTTTATGAACCTGACATTGTGAACATAATGTGTTTTTGGCAAGGCCCATTGCAGTTACTGAGTCAAATACGTGTAATTTGTGTTTTTTTTAAGTGGAAGAACTTTGTTTGCTTTTCCAAAAGTACCATGCTACAATCTACCCAAATTGTTGAAAATTATCATTTCCTTATGTTAAAGAAATGACCCAACTATATTGGAGGAAATAAAGATTTGAATAAGATTTGAAGGTGTGTTCCTCAAGGACTTGATAATATACCATCAAAGACAGCATTTGTGAATTGAATCCACTCTCATTGTGCTGGCATTTTGTGCTGCTGAGTCTTTAAAACTAATAGCCAGTTCTATGAACTGAGAATAAATTCACTCCACTGAGTAGCTGGTAGGGCAGTCAACTTGCCTTCCCCACGGGAACCTAACATGTTCTGGCTCCTTCTTTTTAAACTGCAGCACTGGTGCCCAACCACTTTTTTTGGTTTTTTTTTGAGTTGGAGTCTCTGTCCACCCAGGCTGGAGTACAGTGGCACACTAATGGCCACCATGGCCTTGACCTGCTGGGCTCAGGCGATTCTTCCTCCTCAACCTTCCAAGTAGCTGGAACTGCAGGCACGCACCACCACATCCAGCTAATTTTTGATTTATTGTAGAGATGAGGTCTCGCCAGGTTGCCTGGACTGGTCTTGAATCCATGAGTTCAGGCAATCATCTCACCTCAGCTTCCCAAAATGCTGAGATTATAGGCGTGAGCCACCACACCCAGCTCAACCACATATTATGTGAACTCTTTCCTAACAGTCTGGGCTGTCTTGTCTGCCTCCTTAGACTTCTGTTATAATCACTGTAATGACAATGTAGAGTGTAAGTTGATGGAGACAGAGGCAGAGTCCAAGTAAAAGGTTCTGATAGGAAACAAACACCTGAAATTTTGAAGAGACTGTTTAATAAAGGAGCTGTAAACAAAGGTGCAGCCAGATTTAAAGATTACTATCCCTAGGCCCAAAAGGTCTGCTGGAGCCAGAGAGAAGGGCCGCCTGCAGAATGTGTTTTCAAGGGTTGCAGCCATTGTCAGAATCCCACCAAGGCAAGGAAGGGGTAGTGACTTCATTCTCCTTCCATCCTCCTACTTCCTACCAGAGGACTGGCTGAACCCCAAACAAGAAAGGCAGAAGAGTCAGGTTCTATAGTCAGTGGAGGTGAGCTGTCCATAGTCCTGGGCAGGAAGAAGAGAGCCAAGAATGGATTTAGTGGACAAACAGAATAACTAGCATGGGAGAAAATACTCCAAACGATGAGCCCCTGGACTAGGCCTTGGTAGCTGGGGTTGTGAGGAACAAGTTCAGATCAATACTGTTTTCCTTGTGCTCAGGGAGGTATAGTTCCCAACCACTAATTATGCTGTTTTTCTGCCTCAAAGACTTGCCTTCCAGAAGCTCACCCCATAGTGCCTCCTCTCCTCTTCTCTAAGTTCTACCCTTCCTTCAAGGTTCAGCTCAGATCCTGCCTCCTTTAGATCTTTCCTGGTTGTTTATTTCATTGATCTTGCTTTCATCTTAGTCCACATGGTTAAGATACTATACTGGTTATACCTTTTTATCATGTTATTATATATCTTATTAGATATATGTCATGATTCACAGACTCCATAGAAAGCTACAGCAAGGCATGAAGGATGAAGTTCTACATATAGTTCTGCTCAATAAACCTTAACCAGAGATGAGAACGAATACCATGAGGACACCACAGACCTAAATAATAGTGTTTGATTTCACAGAATAAAATCTCTTTGAGAAGGTAAGCCACCCTTTTCTTTGCCACAATGGGATTGAACTCATTTATTTATTTATTTATTTAGTCAAAAGCGTAACACTTTTATTTTTCTGCTGAATTTAGAAGCACTACATGAGAATCCTGGGCAAGATGGTGAGAGAACCAGTGGGAGTGTGAGTCTCTGCAAGGGCAAGTGTCCATAAAGACAGTCTGCGTGTGTGGGAGTGTGCAGGTGGGTGAGCAAAAGTCCATCTGAGGGGAGACTTGGAATCATGCACGCAGGGCTCCCCTCCCGAGGTAGCTGCAACCCACCACTGCTCTGAGATCAGAGCCCCCAGCTTGCAGGATCATCTGCCTTTCTCAGGGGTCTCTCAGGAGGAGAGTGCTCCTTGGCACCTGGCCCACACTACCACCTGCAGCAGGCTGGGCACTGGCAGTGGGAGTTGTGGAGAACGTACATAGAGGAAATCTGGAGCTGAGCACTGCCACCAGTGAGGAGACACCAACTGCTGGCGTTTTCTCTGTCTTAGAACGGGGAAGAAACCTGTGTTGGCCCACCCAACTCTGTTCAGCCTCCAACCCGAGACCCAGAAGCAATCTCTGCACCTCTCTGGGATTGACCATCGCTGGCACAGAGAGGAAGCTTCAGGAGCAGATACGGAGAGACAGATACCCCACCCCCATGCTGGACTAGGCACAGATACATCTGATTTGAGTGGGAGACTTGGCAGCAGCAGACAACTTGGGGTGAGTCCATATCTTATTCACCCTCTTACCCCAGCAGTCTGTGGAGTGTCTGACCCATGTTGAGAGCAACCCAACTGGCCTGTGCTGATAGTGGAGGGGAGGTGCTGGAGACTGGAGTCTGTTTTTTGACATGGCAGCAGCCAAACCCTGCAAAGGTGCTTGAGACCTGCCAGTAAAAAGGAAAAAAAAAGGAAAGGAAACTGAAGTTCTAGAAATGGCTACAGAGGAAGATCTTTTTTAAAATTTCTTTCCTGTTTTTGTACTTGTTTTGTTTTTGTTTATTGTTTTAGTTTTTTAGTTTTTCAGTTTGCATATGGATATTTTTGAGGGCAAGTGCATCAGGTTTTATTGCTTGTATGTTTGTTTTTGTTCATCTGTTTTTATTTCTTTGTTTATTCATTAGGTGATATACCTGATTTCCTTCTCTCTCTTCATCTTCCTTTCATCTACCTTCTTCTTTCTTCCATTCTTTTCCTTTTTTTAATCTCATTTTGCTTTCAGGGGTCATACATATACCCCTACCACATGGACAGATTTTAAGTTGGTGGGAAGTGGTTTCCAAGGGGCCCACACACCAGTCGATGGATACTGTGATCTGCACATAGCTTCTGGACCACAGCTCCCCACATCATACCTTAATCAAATCTCAAAACTGCAAAAAGCGTAGCCCCTCATCCCCAGTCCGGCTTCAAAACTGAACAAATCCAGAGGCTCTACATAAGAAGAATAGGGGATTGAGCAAAAGGAGGAAAAGCCATCCCCCCATCACTGAGCAATGGAATTAAAGAAGGGGGAAAAAGGAGAAGGAAAACTATCACAAGTGAAAAAGAACCAAAGGAAGAACACAGGTCCCATCCAGACTTCTGGGAAGACAGCACCTGGGAATACTTCAGAAGACTTCGGAACTCAAATAATGAATAGCCCCCAGAATGAATGGTCTCAGACCACAAACCCAGATATCAAGTTATTAATAGAGAGACTTAATATATATGAGGAAAGACAAGAGGAAACAATGAAGACATTGAAAACTGAGATAATGGCAATAAAGAGTATAGTAAACGAAATAAATGACAGACTAACAAGCATGGGAAGCACCACTAACCAAGCAGAAGAAAGAATCTCAGAGCCTGAGGACCAAAATATGGAACTAACTGAAACTCTTAAAAATATAGAAAAGAAGCTTAAAAAGACAGAACAAAGCTGCCAAGAGATGTGTGATTATATCAAGAGGCCAAACCTACGCTTAATTGGCATTCCTGAGGCTGACAGAGAGACAGAGACCACCCTGGAACAAACATTCCATGAAATTATACAAGAAAACTTCCCTCATCTCATCAGAGACATGACCATTCAAATACAAGAGATTCAGAGAACCCCTGCAAGACATCAAATGAGAAGACCAACTCCTAGACACATAGTAATTTGCTTACACAAAATAAGTATGAAAGAAAAAATCCTAAAGGCAGCAAGAGAAAAAGGTCAGACTACCTACCAGGGAAGACCAATTAGAATAGCAGCAGACTTATCTACAGAAACACTCCAGTCTAGAAGGGACTGGAGTCCAATCTTCAAAGTTCTCAAAGAGAAACAATTCCAACCAAGAATTTCCTACCCAGCTACGTTAAGTTTCATCAGCGATGGAGAATTAAAATCCTTCCCAGACATTCAATCCCTAAGAGTTTATGCTGCCTCCAGACCAACTCTACAGGAAACGCTTAAGAAAGTATTAAGCCTAGAAGAAAGAAAAAAAAGAACAACCACACTCTTCTGAAAAATGCAGGAAAAAGATTGAAAACACACAGCTATGTCAACCCCAAAATCAAAAGAAAACCAACAACAACAGATACTATAAGAACCTCATTACAGGGAAAATCTCTCATAACTCAATAATTAGCCTGAAAATGAATAAACTAAATGCACCACTGAAAAGACATAGAATGACAAACTGGATTAAAAAAACAATGCAACAATAAGCTGTCTCCAGGAGATTCATCTCATCAGAATGGACACTCACAGACTCGAAGTTAAAGGACAGAAAACATTTTCAGGTGAATGGAACACAAAAGAAAGCAGGAGTTGCGATCTTAATATCAGATAAAATATCCTTTAAGGTATCAAAAATTTTAAAAGATATGGAAGGTCACTATATACAGATAAAAGATACAATCCATCAACAAGAAATATCCATCTTAAACATATATGCACCTAACATAGGAGCACCAACTTTTATAAAGCAGCTTCTAGGTAAACTAAAAAAAAGATGTTGGCTCTAACACTATCATAGCTGGGGACTGAAATACCCCACTAAAAACCCTAGATAGATCATCAAGGCAGTAAATCAACATGGAGATCTGGAACCTTGACTCCTGACCAAATGGCGTTAATAGATACTTACAGAACACTCCACCCAACAACCACAGAGTATGCATTCTACTCATCACCACATGAAACCATAAAGCTTCTTTTCTTTTTTATTCTTTTTCTTTTTTCTTTTCTTTTCTTTTTTTTTTTTTTTTTGAGTTGGAGTCTCACTCTGTTGCCCAGGCTGGAGTGCAGTGGCATGCTCACAGCCACCCCAACATTGCCCTGCTGGGCTCCAGCAATCCTTCTGCCCCATCCTTCCAAGTAAGCAGAACTATAAGTGCACACTACTACACCCAGCTAATTTTTAATTTTAACTATGTCATAAGAAACTGAAAAAAGTCCTGGACCAGATGGCGTTCTAAAACTTACAAGGAGGAGCTGATACCAATCCTACTGAAATTATTCCAAGCAATTGAGAAAGACAGAACTCTCTCCAAATCATTTTATGAAGCCAACATCACACTCACACTCAAACCTGGTAAAGATCCTGTAGAGAAAGAGAACTACAGGCCAATATCCATGATGAACATAGATGTGAAAATTCTTAACAAGATTCTAGTAAATCAGATCCAATGACACATTTCAGAAATTATCCACCATGACCAAGTAAGTGTCATCCCCAGGATGCAGAGCTGGTTCAATATCCACAAGACCATAAATGTAATTAAATGCATCAAAAGATATAAAAATAGGAATCATCAGATGCAGAAAAAACTTTTTATAAAATCCAGCATCCTTCTAGATAAAAACCCTTGAACACCTAGGCATAAAGGGAACATACCTCAAAATAGTAAGAGCCATCTACAGTAAACCCACAGCCAACATACTGCTATATGGACAGAAATTAAAAGCATTTCCCATGAAAACTAGAACAAGACAAGACTGCCTACTGTTACCCCTCCTGTTCAACATATTATTGCAAGTCCTAGCTACAGCAGTTGTACCAGAGAAGGAATCAGGGGTATCCAAATAGGAAAAGAAAACATTAAGTTATCCATCTTTGCTAGTAATATGATTCTATATCTTGAAAATCCAAGAGAATCTGTCAAAAAACTTCCTTGCACTGATAAAGGACTTTGGCAAACCCTCAAGGTACAAAATCAATGTGCAAAAGAGAGTCACATTGTTATACACCAACAACAAACAGGCAGAGAGCCAAATAAAAAGCATAATACAATTTACAATAGCAACAACAACAAAATGAAATACCCTGGCATCTTCCTAACCAGAGAAGTGAAAGACCTTAATAACAAAAACTATAAAACATTGCTCAAAGAAGTCAAAGATGATGCAAATAAGTGGAAAAATATCCCATGCTAATGGATTGGAAGAACCAACATTGTTAAGATGTCCATTCTGGCCAGACATGGTGAAAACCTGTAATCCCAGCACTTTGAGAAGCCAAGGTTAGAGGATTGCTTGAACCCACAGGTTCGAGACCAGACTATGTAACATGGTAAGACATCTTCTCTACAATAATAAAAAAACATGATTAGCCAGGCATGGTTTCAGACATCTGTAGTTCTGACTACTTGGAAGGCTAAGGCAGAAGGATCGCCAGAACCCAACAGGTTGACACTGGCATGGCCGTGAGTGTGCCATTGTACTCCTGTCTGGGCGACAGATTGAGACCTCCAACTCAAAGAAAATAAATGTCCATCCTATCCAAGGAAATCTACAGATTTAATGCAATACCATTTAATTACCAATATCATTCTTCTCAGACCTAGAAACAATAATACAGAAATTCATTATGGAAAAATTAACAACCATGAATAACCAAAACAATTCTCAGCAAAAAAATCAAAGCAGGAGGTATCACACATCCAGATTTTAAACCTTATTATAAGGCTACAATAATCAAAACAGCTTGGTATTGGTACAAGAACAGGCATATAGAGCAATGGAACAGGATAGAGATTCCAGAATTACAATCTCAGTTTCTCAAACAACTCCTCTTTGACAGACCTTCCACTAACAACCACTGGGGAGAGGAGAACTTATTCAGTTAATGGTGCTGTGAAAACTGGCTGACTACATGCAGAAAATTAAAACAAGACCCCTAACTATCACCATACACAAAAATGAAATGGATCAAAGACCTAAACATAAAACCTCAAACTATAAGAACTTTAGAAAATAGAGGAGACTCCCTTATGGAAATTGGAACTGGAAACCAATTCCTGATCAAAATCCCAAATGCCCTTACCATAAGAGATAAGAAAGACAAGTGGGACCTCATCAAACTGAAAAGTTTCTGACAAGCAAAAGAAACCATCAAGAGAACAGAGAGACAGCCCACAGATTGGGAAAAAGTATAATTTTGCTCAAAAAAAAATTACCAGTTACCCAGATGTGGTAGCCTGCACCTGCAACTCTAGATACTTGGAAGGCTGAGACAGAAGGATCACCTGAGCCCAACAGGTCAAGGCTGTGGTGGCTGTGAGCATGCCACTGCACTCCAGCCTGGGTGACAGAGTGAGACTCCAACTCAAAAAAAAAAAAATACCAACTGTATTTCTGACAAAGACCTGACATCTAAGATCTAAAATGAACTCAAATGTGCCAATAAGAAGAAAAACAAACAGCTCTACTAAAAAGTGGGCAAAAGATATGATAAACACTTCTCAAAAGAA